TTTTTTTTTTTTTTTTTTTTTTTTTTTTTTTTCCCCCCCACAACCTAGTCTAACCCTCTGTCTCTTTTTGCTCTTTTAGTTTTAAATGCTGGACATAGTGTTGTGACTTTCTTAGACCTGAACAAAAGCTTTGCCCATTTTTGTTCAGTAGACAGGATTCCAGGCTTCGCATTCTGTATAACTTGTGTTATTGAGTAGTAAAATGTAAAATATAAAGCACTTGATATGATGAACTGTGCTCCCTATTGGCCTGGAGCTCCAGAGTTTCAGCCCCTGCCTTTTCCTTCAAACCTCTCTCTTCTGAACCTCATTAGAATTAGATCATAATATGCTGACTTCCAAAAGCTGTGTTTGTTCCATTTAAGCATGGGGCACTGGGTGGAAGAAATAAATAATCCCATTTCAATTTCCTTACTCTAATTTTCTAGACTATCGTTGTGATTTTGTGAGCTCAGCTAAGCAGCATTGCCCTGAAGCTCTCCAGGGTCTTTTGAGGTGTAGACTTGTTTAACTTTCTATTTGGTCTGTAAAATAGCAAGCAGATTTAATTTAGGAAGGCAGAGCTGCCTAGTGAGTAATCTGTAGGCTGAATACCAGCCTTGATCTGCTGCTATCAATTGCCCCAACATAGATGAGATAATTTGCTCAGCTGAAAACAGCTTGCTGCTGGCAGCCCTGTGCCAGCTACAGAAATGGCTTTTGCTGCTTCCCTCTGCACTTCAGGTTCAAGTAAAGGTGAAAGGCTGGAGGAGGCCAAAAATCCCTTTGAAGAGAAATCCCCTGCAACATCAAATTGCTAAAATATTTATGCACTCTTTTCTAAGCTGTGCAGCATCTGAAGTGTTGCGAGTGCTTCTGGTTGAAACTGTAACTCCCTTATTTTCATAATCTTGGTTATTGTGATGACCCAAGTGTCAGATTTTTACCTGACTGGACATTTCCCTACTTTTAGGAAGTGACCCTATGAGTGTGAGAATTATTGGCTAGCTAGACTGTTCAGCACTTGATCTAAAATAATACAAGTACTAAGATGCTATCTAGCGAAGTCCAAATACAAAGGCTACGGAAATTTTCAAAAGTATTATTCTGCAATTGGATGCCTGGAGGGAGAGACAGAATGTGTGTGTGTATGTATGTATGTATGTGTATAACTCTGGGATGGATGAGTACAGTATCACAGGAAAATGGCTGTTTGGTTTATTTCATACAGATAATTAAGATGGCAAGGGTCAATTAACAATAATCTGGAGGAAAACAATTCCTTTTCCAATTAAAAAAAAAAAAAAAAAAGTTAAATTTCTGATTTGGGTGTGGCATGGGTTTTGTAAGAAACATGTAGAATTAGTGCAGACAGCCAAACATTAAAATAGCTGCTAATTTATGTTGTGGCCAACTGTGGTGACAGTGTATTTAAACCACTAACAGCTTATAAAAATTCAGGCTAGGTAGTTTGGTGCATGAAGCTGACTGCTCAGCATTAACTCATCAAGATTCAATACCCTTGCCTGTGTGTTGGGGGAAGGGTGAATCTAAAAGGTAATAGAGCAGTGCTATAAGACCAGTAATTATTTTAAACCACTGAGGACAAGGATAAATAGCAGAGATGTTGAATTTTCTCTTTCTCGTGGTCGAGTGTGAAAAATGTATAAATGCCATTAAGTTACATAGTTAACATTAACCTCTGTGAAGCCTGTGTGATTGCTCTACTTTTAGGCAGCACTTAAGAACTGGACAGTTACCTTATTTTTTTCAATTACTGATTGTAACCATTCCTAATACCAGGTCCTTTCAGTAGTCTGTGCAAGCTCTTTGGTGTCTCTCAACTTTGGTGTGACTAGGACATTAAAAGCATTGCACGCACATAGCAGAAAGATGTATGAATACGGAAGTTGGAAAGCAGATGCAAATAAGACTTGCACCACTCTTAGCCACTAACTTGCATTTATTTTCATTGCACTTGAAGTTGTCTTTGAGATGAACAGCTTCTTTATGTGGCCTGGGGAGATGGTATTTTAGTGAGACAAATCACACACAGGCACAAGCATGTGACAAATTGCAATTAAAGTTTGTATTTGTAACCGATGAGGTACTGGAATGAAATCCAGCCAGCTTTGCTTAGTGGTCACGTAATTCAGGTAATGCATGCCTGAGTGAATCCTAAAGGCTGTGCAGAATTACAGCCAGAGCCACCCCATGCACACATACATTCTGCATAATTAATGCATCTCTGTTCCCAGGCGGCAGAGGACTGTTGCTTTTTACTATTCTGGTTTTTAGTGTCATCCTACACTATATAAGAGTATAGTTTTTAAAGGCTCATAACTTACAAATATAGCATTAATGTAATACGATTTTACACTGATTGAATGCTATGCCTAATTAATGTCACAGTTATGTCTGGAATTATTTATGGGCAAATTCAAAGAACAGGAAAAAATCCAAACATGTATTCATGTAAATGAAAACAATTATACAAGATTAACTAATGGCATAACCCTAATTGATTTTTGCATACAGGGAAGAGTTAGTATTCTAATCTATGTATATAGTCAGTATGTAAATTTTGAGATGCTAATATTTTGCTTCAGAGGCTGATGAAATTGGCAAATCTTGCAATAGGTTCCTATGCTATTCTTCATGTCTAGGCATCATGAACTTTACTTCATGGAGAGGTTAAAGTCATGTAGGCTTTCATCAGTGGATGATGTCTTTGCAGGATTCAAGGGCCTCACTGAAGTTCTCTTATATGACATCTTTTTGGCCAAGTCAGCAAAATGTCTGAATGTAACTAAACCAGCCTCAGCTGCTCTGACACAAACCAGTCCATTGGCAAAATAAAGGCAGAGTAATAAGCACTTTCTTTAGGTATCATTGTTTTGTGTGTGGGAGAGGGGACTTTTCTACAGGGTTTGATACCATCAGGCGTACTATATTTTACACAATATCCTTGTTTTCCATTTTTATGTGCATAGACATAATTTGTTTCAAGTATGTAAAAAGGCAATTTTTCCAACAGCTGCATTTATTTTTGTATTTTCATATATTTTTTTAATGGCTGATTTCTACTTAATAAGGGAAGGCAATTTCTGTTCTTACCTTTCTCCTTCCAAGTGCTGGTTAGGGCACTTCAGGACCCTGTTTTAGGATTTATGCTTCCTTGTGAATTGTCTGTTTGTTCCCCACAAAACAGTTAACTTTCCTTTTGTAGATGTGAAGTCTCCTGGTAGTTGATTAGTACATATGGTCTTTCATTTAGTGATTATTGAACCGATCTATATGGTAATAATATTCTGCCATTTGCATTTAAATTAGATGAATTATTTATCATCTATCAACCATATCCCCAAAGCGTTGCACAGTAGACTTAATACTTCTTGAGATTATTTTCTATTGCATTTCTTCTTCTATCATATATGGGTTTGATCTATGAACAAAATAAATTAATATTTTTAAAGACTGCTGTGCGTTTGGGTTTAATAACAAAGGCAGCCTTATGAATTTTTTTACCAACTTTGCACAGGTTGGTTAAAAAAATGTTGTTTGTAAGTTATGACTATTTGTTATAATATTGTAGTTACCATGATCAATAAGATCACCAAAATGTTTGTTGTGACCATAGCTATTCAAATGCTTGTGGTTTAACCCAAGGACCAAAAAGTTATGAAACACAAGAAATAAATATAACACTGCATTTGCCGGAAGTCACTTCTTTTATTGTGCTTATGTTTGCCTGTGTTCCAGTTTTGCTCTGCTTATGAGACAATATAGATGCATATTCTTAATCTTATGTTTCCACTCTGCTTTGTTTTATTGACATTGACACACCTATAGGTGCATATTAAACCTTTAAAAACGTGAAGAAGAATTTGCTCTGGAGATATTAATTGAGAGCTTTAAAAACATTTTTTAATGTGTTGTAAGTGTCCTCTACCAAGTTATTCTGATAGGTTCAGGGGAAAAAAAAAAATAATTCTTGCCCGGTGGTGGCTGCAAGTGAACCAAGATCTCAGCTCTGCATCTGTGTAGTTGCAAATTGAGTCTGCAGCACTGGAGCTACTAGCACTGTATTTGTCTGAAGGCCTGTAAGGGTTTATAGCTGCCATCAGGTGTTGCTGCAGTGTCCCATTGAGCTTTGCCAGAAACTGATTTCTGTACCTTGCCAGCTCACCAGAGCAAGACTTTCATGGAGTCCAGAGCAAGACTTGCAAGACTATTGATGGAAAAAAGTTTGGCAAAGGTCTGTATCACCCGTGTCTGCCTGGGGAATCCTGGCAAGGAAAGAATCCTGGAGCTTGTTCCAGGTGCCCAGGTATTCATCTCAGCCCATGCTGGAATGGAGTTGCCTTTTTCTTATTTCCTTTTTTGATTTGTTTGTTTTGTTTTCTGTTCAAACATACCTCAGGTCAGACTGTGTGGTCCTGATTTGAGACCTGTCAAGCTTAATCATATCTATTTGAAATCTCATTATGTGCACCTCACTAAGGTATGCCCACTACACTGAATTCACCATTGAAACTAAAGAACAGTTGCCTATTTAAATTTTGGTTGCCTCAGATGCACATGTGAAAGTACATAGCAAAAAAGGCATTAAAAGAATATTTTCCCTTTGGAAACTTTTCCCTTTTGGTAGCAAAATTCACTGCATTATTCTATGAAAAAAAACCCAAAACTTCTTCTGGCCTATTTCAGACACAAGATGCTGTAGTAGTCATGTGTGGTTTGGTATGAGGATTCCTGTAATAAAAAAACTGGCTTTCCTGTGAAATTGTCTTCCAGGAAACACAGAATTTTAAGAAGAAATAGTCTGACAGGTAATTTTACGTTACAGGCTGGAAAAATGTGTGGAAGCTAAAGAAGAACTAGAGGTAGATCTTTATAGCCGATTTTGTTTGGTGCTGAATGAAAAGAAGGCAAAGATAAGAAACTTACAGAAGTTGCTGAATGAAGCTAAGGAATCTTCAGCAGATGCCAAATGTACAAGGTATCTTTTTCTTTTCCTGAATTACTTAGTATCACACTTGATGCATATTTTAGTTTAGTTCATATTCCGTTTCATTGCCTATAACAGTAAGTTGCAGTTATTCCTGCCTAAGTGCTTGGTTATCAAAAAAATACTGTTGCTCATGAAAGCAGAGAGTTCTCTGTGGTGTCACTGCAAATAGCAGCATAAAGCTTTGGGTGCTGTATCCAAGAGCTTTCTTTTTCATTTTCCTGTTAGATTGCAATTGATTTTCTGATCAGAGTACGTCTCTGCCATTTACAGAGGTGTTACTTTCATATGCATTCTCCCTGAATTATTAGATTCCTTTTGTCCTTTGAGAAACAAAAATATCCTAGTCTAAATGTTATTATGTACTTTTTATTTCAAAAGTATGCAGAGAAAACAAATCATCGTAATGCTACAAAACACCTTAATTTGCTTGCTGTTTGGCTTTTTTAATATCTTAACTTGCCTTTTATTGTTTGGCCTTGTACATCAATGTGCAAAGCGAATAATAGATGGCAAAAATATGTGCTTTTTTTTTCCTTTTTATTTTTTTTCTGCTCTAGGGATAGTGTAACTACCACTCAGATGGCTACAGGGAGAGAAAATGACTATGATGGTAGCACTGAGGAGGAAAGTGAAAATTTAACACAAGCCTCGTTACCATCAGGTAAGACAAAATGTGTTGTCTTTGGGGAATATCACGGACAGGCCAATCACTTTATGTGAATAAACCTTAATGAAGACAAAATACTACCTGACAAATTGCTCTATGACAAGCCAACCTGCAAGCCTTAAAAATCGCTCTTGAAGCTGAATATAATACTGGCATTTTCAAATTAGAGAGAGGAAGTTTAAAAGCATGTTGTATGAGTGAAGGAACTGTCATTTCTTCCAAAATGACAAATTACATCCTTTGCTGAACTAATGACAGTTTAACAGTATCTGAACCATCAACAGTTCCACTTTAAATTCTAGGAATCATGACGTGTATGCAATGATTGCTAAAGTGGAAAATGTAGTTCCTGACAGTTTCAATAGTGTTTAAAAAGGGGAAAGAGAGAAGGTTTAATGGCTATAAAAAGACCTGTATGCATATATGGAATAAAAATATCTTTACAGCAGAATAAATTTCAGTTTTTCAGTGAATTTTTTGGCCTCATGAAATTTAACCAATTTTTCCAGGACTAGAAATTTGTCAAGTGTATGAGCTACAGCATTTGCCTGTTCTACAACACTGTGAATTTAAATAAATTTTCTCATATTTTGGCAAACAAGTAGGAACATGCAGGACCAAATCCTATCAACGTTTAAAACTGCCATAAAGTTACTTATATGTATAAACTTCCCTTCGCTTCTGCAAAAATTTTATGAGTTCTCTCACTGGAGCCTTTTTTTTCATCATAGGTAAAGATAATCAAGACAACGACTTGTTACAACAGTTTACTGTGCGTAGTGGGAAACAGAAGTGTTCAAGTCCTTGATGATGCTGATGGTGTTTAGCTTTGTAACTCATATGAGGTCTTTTTATGTTGAGGACTTTCTGATGTGATATAGGGTAGGCAGAGCTTCAGACAAGCAGAGAAATCTACAACCATCAAAAAATAATTTTATGTTGCACTATGCTCTTCAGAAATCTTTCCTTTAAAGTGGCCTTTGTTCAGTTCCGGTTTCATGGGGAGGAATACTTTACTGACAATACTTTAGTTAAAAAGCAAGGAAAAGTGGAAGGTGTTGCTTCTATTATTTTCTTTTTTTGCTAGATTCAGTTGAATTTACTGAGAATTTTGAGGTGGACATATATATTTAAAAATTAAAACAAATTCCCAATCATGAGGAACTGGACTGATCAATGTTACAGAATAAAAATTACAACTGTATTTTTTTTTGGACTTGTAAACACAAATGAGCTTTCTGTTGCCTTTGAAGGATTCTACACTCACTATTTTGATAATGACTAGGGAATTCTGTCAACTGCATAATTTACAGGTTGTATGAACACTATAAGCTTAATCCTTTGGGTAACACATAAGGTTTTAAAGGTAATGGCGTTCTTGAATCTGCACAATGAGTGTTACTTAAGTCAGTTTATACTCTTTGTCAGTACACAGCATTCTCTTTCCATGAACAACAGAAAAACACAGATAGGAGCTGAATATGTTAATGTGGTCTATGATTTTCACATGATAAAAAGAGTTTGCGACAGCCTGTGTCTCTATGAAGAAGAGAATGATTCAGGGGTAGTGACATGAGTGGATAATGCAGCTCAGAAACATCAAGTGTCAAGGACTGTAAGGCATAAAACATAATACAGATAATGTTTGGATTTTTTCTGTCTAGCTTAGTTTTCCTGTCTCCTAGTCCAACATTGCATTTCTTTTCCTTTTGGATTTGAATGTCATTGTGTGTGTTGCAGCAGTCAGTGAGGATTGCAAAATCTTTGAGAATATTTTAACAGGTATTAGGAAAAGCCACAATCATGAGAAAAAAAAAAATACATGTTTTAGAAACTACTTCAAAGGAAAGTGAAGGCAGGTGTTTGTATGTACAGATATACACATAAAAATTGTGCATTTCTATATGTGCACTTCCAAAATATAAAAAGTGGGAAGCTGATGCTGATGGTCATAAATGAAAAGTAGGAACTGCAGGAGATGGGTGAAGAAAGCCACACAATATAAAGGCAGAGAGAATCTCAGGCCAGGAGGCACAAGGCCAATGACCAGTCTTCCATTCAGTTGAGAACACATATGCAGCTCTTCTTGGCTTATTAGGGCAATGATTAAAAATTAGCTAGTATTTGAAAAGCAGCTGTGGTCAGCTTTTGGTTTGTGTTTAGATGGGAAAACTAGGCCTAGTTGCATCATAAGTAGTTCTTTTCTAGCAACTAAGAGGGACATGAAACAGCATCTGCGAAATCTAGACAGTTTAAAATTAGCCAGTCAGGATGCGTTGAACTGCAGAGTTTAATAAGCTGGCTGAGGATTTTTCTTAACCACAAATAAATTTTCTTCTGGAATTTTCAGGGCACTGAGGTAATTCCAGAGGATTTGGAAAAAAGTTGTAAATATTTACCAAAAGTGCATGAAGTGGCACATTCAGTTATGGGTGTTTCATTCTGGTGTTGATCTGATGCAAATATTGGAACCAGACTCAGAGAAGAAAAACATTAAGAAAAAGAATAAGAATGCTTAATTACTGAAACTGAAGGTTGCAGACTAGATACTCAATGTCTTCTGTTATAAGTTTACCAGCTGGCTGTAAAGTAATAGAATGACTTCCGTAAGATACGCTCCACCACATTTCATTCAAGAAATTAGAACATGAAAATTAATATAACACATGATAAATATATCCACAAATGTGGTAATATATCTGTCTCAAAATGTAAATAGGAAGTTACCAAGTCATCATATTTGTGGAGTGTGAAAATGAAGATAATTTCTAGAAAACAATTTGTGTTGTGTGATACACCAACTATAAACAAAACTTATGCCTTCTAACACAGTTTAATGCCATGATTCCCAGTCCTTTGACAGCTATATTTCATTTGAGAAAACCAACAATATCTCAGCTTTGCTGTGTCTAGCTCCTTCTGCCACATAAAGCTGGCTACCTCCAGCGATTTTTGTTATCTTCGCCAGATGGGCCCATCTAGCAAACTATCTAGCGACTTGGATAACGTTTGCACTCTGCTGCATATGCTGGGAGGGTGGCCGTGTCCTGCCTGGCCTTGCAGGAACCAGCTTGAGCTTAGCCGCATTAGTTCAGTTGTCTTCTGCCTGACCTCTCATCAGGTTGTGACTTCCCAGTGCTACCTGCCTCATCTCATAGGGAAACACTGGCATCGTGTAAGTCTGCTTTGGAAATTAAGTACCATATAGACTGTTGTCTGAAGAAGCAGTGGTTTCCAATAGGAAAAAAAAAAAAAAAAAGAAAAAAAAGAAAAAAAAATAATTAAAGAAAACATTGAGTGGGAAAATAAGCAGATTTGCAAAGTTATGGCAAAAGGGACTGTGGAATTTTGAGTCAAAGTAATATTTTGCTCCTTGATGCAGTGCTATGTCAAGTTTGGACATTTGCATTTGAAGAAAGTTAGAAATATTAGCAAACAGAGTGACTTTGTGGTAACAGTGGAGGGATTATCAGATTTTTTAAAATGAAATTCAGGGAAGGATCTTAAATGATTGTTGTTTTCATGGCCTGGAAGACACTGTGATGCAAAATGATGTCATTGTAGATGGTCTTTCCCTCCGAGAGATACAGCTGTTTAGTGAACTTGAAAAACTGAAAATTGGCCTTAGATAAAGTCAAAAGTGGGACATTATTCTTGACAGGAAAATTAACTGTTGGAACAGTTTGCCACTACTAGTGTTGAAATCACAATGTCATGCTTTTAATAAAAAGGCAAGATCTTGTTCATATAAGCATGAACTTAAAAGTACAAAACCTATGTGATGTCAGGCATTGCAAATGACTGTTACTATGAGAGCTTTTCCTCTGTAACAGCAGATGAATTGCAGAATAAAACTGTTTCTTGCGTCTTCTACAAATATGGTTTTGCTCATGTATGAATATTCAAGGAGTGGGTGGGTTTTCAACCTCTGCACAGCGGTTGATTACTCTGCTAATCAATGGAAGCCCTTTTTCCTAAAATAAGAGTTAAACTGTAACTTAAAACTTAGGTTTTGGGCACTAACAGTGCCTTTTATAGATATCATTTATAGTTTGCTTTCATCAGCATTTTCTATTTAATAGCTGAAAGCCAAAACTAACTAAAGCATGGTAAGTTTTGTCTCTAATTTGAACACCAATGTAGTTAATACTTTGTATTGTAAAAGAACAAACTAAAATGTAATTAGTAGGCATATTAGTGTCAAAAACTCAGGAAAAAAACTGATGTATATGGGGAGTACAACTTCCAGAAGTAGTACAACTTTTAAGTAATACTGTATATCTTTCTATACAAAAACTTTCCCAGTTGTGGCATGAGCAAGAGGGAAATTTATGTGACATATTGGTTAGGATTGTGAATGTGAGATTGAAAAAAGCACAGAACTCCCACTTTCAATGCAGCTTAGTAGGTTTTTAAGCATCAGCTATATATGATGTGTCAGGTCCTTATAAATGTCTGTGAACTCTTGTTTGAGAGAGTTTCTGCTCTGGTATGAGGACAGGAAGGAAATCCTCCTACTTATAAGCAGTTTTTCATGAATGGGGAGATCTCAGTAATTCTTGGGAGCAGGGGGAGGTTGCTTTTGATTTGTTTTGTTATTTGTTTTACTGTTATTTGTTAAGATTTAGCTGGGCCACTATACCCAGATACAGTTGTTGCTTTTGCTACTAGTTCCAACAACGTTCCAGCAACATTGCAGGTGCCTTGCACTTCAGATGGCTGACGTGCTGTCTTGTGTTTTCCTTTCTTCTTCATGTGTTTTGTCTTGCAGTTCAACTCTTAAATCCAATAGCTGTTTGGTGGTTTCTTGCTTTTTGGGTTTGTTTGTTTGTTTGTTTGTTTGTTTGTTTTTCAGCTTGACCGTTGAGGTTTTTTGTTTGTTTCTTTTTTCTTTTAAAAAAAGCTGGAAATTGCCAAATCTATTTTTCTCTTAGTCCACAGGAGTGACATGGTGACTCAGCAGGTGCCACCACACGGATGCAAGAAGTTTCTGT